AGATATTTTAATTTTAGTGTATGGTGTGTGTGTGTGTGTGTGTGTGTGTGTGTGTGTCACACTTAGCATGTAGTGTGCTTTTATTAAATGTTAGTTCTTATTATAGGGGTTCTTCATTGATTACTACTACTTCTATTAATTGTGATCTTCTGCATTCCTAGGAGGTAGGTTGGCCAGTATTTTGAACTTCATTTGATCGATGAGGAGACCAAGGCAAAGAGAAGCCTTGGCACTTAATTGACAGAGCAGGTATCAGAATCTAATATGTTCTTTTTGTAAGTCCATAGGAAAAAGATGGGTCTTTTTTTTTTTTTGGTCTTGTTGACATTTCTGGGGGGCATTAGTAAAATAGGAAATAGGATTAAATATTAAAGTTAATGTCATGTTGGACCAATTCATGTTTTATATTTAGCTATGTAATTTTTGAATTTTTGGGTACAATGTCATTTAATGTAGCACAGCTCTGTTGAGGTAAAAAGTGATCTTGACTATTTAACATTTTATATTCTTAATGAATTAAACTTTATTAATCTTAATCCACGATTAAACTAATCTATATCAGTACTGATCTTGTTGAATATAAATTTCTCCTTTACCTCTACCCTACCGTTACCTTTGACTCTCAAATAAGTCAAGGCATAGTAAGATTTCAGTCACTATACTGAGTTCCACTTGGCCTTATATATGAACTTTGAGATTTCTTAATAGGTATCCCAACGTGACTTTAACTTTTCATGCAATACACCTGTCAAAGCAATTGGATCATTTATCGTTGTTTCTTGGAAGTTATACTTGCAAGTAAATCAGACCAAACCACAGTTTCTTTCTCTCTCCAACACCAGAGACAATTTTGTAGTTATTAGATTCTGTTGTATGCCACTCTACTGGCTGAAATAGTTTGTAGTATATTCACTCTCAATACACTCATTTATTGGCCATAATGGCCTGTCATGACGGGTATTATTCTGGTTTTACAGGAGAGGAAGTTAAGACTGACTTATCCAAGGCTCTGGAAACTTCTAAGTTGGGAATCAGGCTTTTTGCATTGTTTTACATTATATAATGAAGATGTTAAGTTCTTTGGACATTTTTGTTCTAAATGTTAGCAAGAACCATTATAGAGAAAGCCAGTTACCCAACAGTAATTTAAAAATTTTCATGGGGTGCCTGGGTAGCTCAATCAGTTAAGCAGCTGACTCTTGGTTTTGGTTCAGGTCATTATCTCATGGTTTGTACAATCAAGCCCCCGTGTCACGCTCCACACTCAGTGAGGAGTCTGCTTGAAGATTCTCTCCCTCTGCCCTGGCCACCCCCCTTCTCTCTCAAATAAATACATAAATCTTTAAAAAATTTTTTTTTCATAATTTCCATCAGGCCATCACTAAAAGATTTTGGTCCCTTGTGTTGGATAGTAAATTTATAAGATTATGCTCCTTATGTTGCTCCCCAAATAAAAATAAAGATACGGAATTATAAAAAGTATTTTATTTACTTACTTGACAGAGACAGTGAGAGAGGGAAGACAAGCAGGGGCAGTGGGAGAGGGAGAAGCAGGCTTCCCACCGAGCAGGGAGCCCGATGTGGGGCTCAATCCCAGGATCCTGGGATCGTGACCTGAGCCCTAGGCACATGCCTAACAACTGAGCCACCTGGGTGCCCCAGGTATAGAATTTTTAAAAGTAGGTAGGAGAAGTACCTTATACTTCGTACCAGAAGAAACTATGATATGTTGGCCTGGGGAAGGTCTTTCCAAATATACAAAATACTAAAGCTGTGAAAAAGAAGTTTGATTAATATAACTACATAAAAATAACCACCACAAGCAAAGTCAAGACAAATGATAAACTAGGAAAAGTATTGCTAGTCATATGACATAAGGCTAATTTGCCTTATAGAGAGCTTTAACAAATCAAGAAGAAAAAGTTAATGTAAAGAGTAAAGGAAATGCATAGACGTTTCATATCAAAGTAAACGCAAATTACTCAAACATGAAAAGTACTCAGTTTTACTCATAAAATATGTATATAAGATACAGAATTTCACCTGTTAGATTGGCAAAGCTAAAAAGTTTCAGCACTCATTGTGTGATACAACAGGATACGAGGAGATGACACTCTTGCATTGCTGGTGGGACCTAAGTCTGCATAGGCTATAGGAAGGAAGGGCGACTTGGTATTGTCTATCAGAATTACAAAAGCATGTATGCACATATTCTTTGACACAGTAATTCTGATTCCAGCAATTTAATCTGTGAATATACTTGCAAAATATTATACCTGCAAGATTATTCATGAGAGCATTGTTTGAGTAGTCTTTGGAGATTTGAACTCCCCTTGATATCTGTATTTTGGTCCTCTTTATTCTTAGTATTACTTTGTTGTCTGTCTTTTTTTTCTTAGAGGTTGGTTTATGGTCATTTCATAGTTCTGTATAAAAGATGGAATCAGCCAGGTTATTCATTTTAATCAGCAGAAATCTACTCTGGCAAATTTAAGCAGAAGAAGAATTTATTGAGAAAGAATATTGGGTAATCCAGAATAATCAGCCAGGTAGCCAGAAAACTTGGCTTGGAAAATAGCAGCTAGGATCCAAGAGCAAAGTCTGTATAATATGAATTCTTTGAAAGTTCTTTGTGACCTGATGTATTTTTAATTGTTCTTTGTTTACCTTAAGGAATATATATTCTGTTTATTATACACACACACACACACATATACATATATATATAAATATATTAGGATCAAATTTGTTAATTTTGTTCAGTTTTTCTACATTTTTACTACCTTTTGGTCTGCCTGATCTGTTTTTAATTGGGGTGTGTTAAAATTTCTTGCATTATTTTGGATTTCTTAATACCTCCTTATAATCTTAATTAGTTTTTGCTGTGGTATATGTTCATACAGATTCATGATTATTATATCTCCTTTTTGCATTGCCTTTCTAATCATTATGTAATTTCCCTCTTTATTCCTATTAATGCTTTTGGTTTTGCCATGTACTAGTTTTGTGGCATTAGGCAAGTCATTATCCTCTCCTTTTCCTTATTGTAAAATGGGTTTGAGACCTACCTTATAAAGTTTCTGTGAAGATTTACTAAGGAAATATATACGAAGTATTTTACATCTGATAGTTTCTCCATAAATGGATTGAAAGTACTTTTTTGCCTTAAGGGTTCTTTTTTCTCTCTCCTTCTCCTTCTCTATTAAAGTATCAGATTTTAAATACTATTTGCCTATAATTGGAAATGTGCTTAAGGGATGTGATTAAAATATTCGTCAGGACTTTTTTTTAATAAGTGAGTGAAGGTGGTGGAATGTTTGCCTCCCACACCAAGAGTCTGACAATTCTCTTGTACTTGTAGGCCTTTAAATTGCTGTTCCCTGCCTTTGCATTAGATCCAGTGTTTCTAAGTCTCTTCCACATTTCTCAGGTGTATTAAATAAGAGTCTTTCAGAATAGTTGAGACAACTGAAAAAGGACAAAAGTCAACTTTTTAAGGAGCCTGCTTTTCTACAACAAATATTTATCATCCTCAATGGGGTATAGAGTTCTTTTTTTTTTTTTTTTTTTTTTTAAAGATTTTATTTATTTATTTGACAGAGAGAGAGATCACAAGTAGACAGAGAGGCAGGCAGAGAGAAAGAGAGAGAGAGGGAAGCAGGCTCCCTGCTGATCAGAGAGCCCGATGCGGGACTCGATCCCAGGACCCTGAGATCATGACCTGAGCCGAAGGCAGCGGCTTAACCCACTGAGCCACTCAGGCGCCCGGGGTATAGAGTTCTTAATAAGTCCTAAAATTAATACTACATTTTGATCACTGCATGTACATAGAATTTTATAGAAGTGTCATGTACATTTAAGGAGGCAGAAGTGTGTACTCCCCCCCACCTTTTTGATAGCATTTAGAACTTCTCTTTTATTCCTGTTCTTAATTTGGGTTTTTATCGTCTATTTATATTACTAACCTGTGTTGTGTGCCTCCTGCAGTCCTGAATATCTTGGATTTAAAAATATGTAGAGATAAGGTGAAAAAACAATGTCAGCTGAGAAAACAGAGCAGAAGGTTTAAAAATATATGGCATGTATCTATTGTAATTTGGTAGTCAAGGGTTAAGAGATCTAATGCTGGAGAAAGAAGAAATTGTGATGAAGTTGTGATCCATCTTTGGAGAGCATTGAATGACAGGTTGAAGAGTTTTGACTTTATTCTCTAGACCAATAAAAACCACAAAGGCTTTAAGGATTAAAAAAAAAAATTGGGTTCGGGTGCCTGGATGGCTCAGAGGAACTTAAGCCTCTGCCTTCAGCTTGGGTCATGGTCTCTGGGTCCTGAGATGGAGCCCCACATCCCGCATCAGGCTCTCTGCTCAGCAGGGACACTGCTTCCGCCTCTCTCTCTGCCTGCCTCTCTGCCTACTTGTGATCTCTCTCTCCATGTGTTAAATAAATAAAAATCTTAAAAAAAAATGAGGTTATATGCCAAAAATATCTACAGGTTGTATGCAGGAAAATACTCTGTTGGCAATATTGAAAAAGAGATAGAAAAATACAGTGTTATGAATAAAACTAACTCATTTAAAATGTTAACTTGGTAACATTAAATGTGTTTTTTCCTTAAGGTCCTTTAACATGTGACTTTATCAGTGAGGCTCCATTCTTTATAAAATAATCTTTTTCTTTCATCCTACATTTATTTTTCTCCATAATACTTTGTCCTACCAGTTCTATTATATGCACACACTTGTTTGCTTATTGTTTGTAAGATTGTAAACTCCATGAGAGCAAGGGCTTTATTTGTTCAATGCTTCTCCCCAGTGCTTAGAATTGTGCCTCGTTTATACCCTTTAATAAATATTCGTTAATGAGTGAATGAATATTCAAATTAAGATGACCATAATTTTTTTTTATGTGGTTTATAAGGTGGGACAGCAGTAGGTAGGGTTTTGGGTTCTTTCTTAGAAACTCCTGTTAAAAAGTGTTTTCTTTTCCCTTTCCTCCAGAGTTTATATTCAGAGCACCAATCAAATTAAGCAAGCCTGGGGAACTTCGTGAGGAATATGAAAGCCTGAGAAAGGTACAGTGTATGCATGATCACACCACTCGTTTTCTTAAAGTAAATTAAAATGATGACATTAAAGAATACTTAATGAAGTTTACAATGCAGAGCCTGTCTTTCTCCATACCACCTTATACTATAGCTATAATAGACATAGAGTATACCTTAACTAAGAACCCCTTTTGGCTGTCCTTTCACAGATGAAACTGTAGCTCACTTGGCCTGTCTTACACCTAACACAATAACCAACCACCAAGAGGAGTAGTCTTGGCATTTAGTTAGTTACTTACTTATTTAAATTTATTAGAGAGAGAGAGAGAGAGAGCAAGCACAGGCTACAGTGTAGGGAGGGGCAGAGGAAGAGAACTCAAGCAGACTCCCTGCTGAGCCCGGAGCCTGCCATAAGTTGGGGGGATGGGGCTTTATGTGGGGCTCCAGTCCCACAGTCCATGAGATCATGACCTGACCTGAGCCCAAACCAAGAGTCAGATTTTTAACCCAGTGAGCAACCCAAGTGCCCCTATTCTTGGCATTTAAATCTTGGCTAAAAGCCAACATTTAAGCTCTAATAATAATAGCTTGTATTATTTTTCCTTATCTTGCAAGGTTCCTCTAATTACATGAAACTGGTGTTCTCTTTTGTTGTCTTCACTCTGTTATATACTGCAGAAGAACTGTAACTTAGGATAGTAAGGGGGTAGTAAAATAATTTCCTAGGTAGAGAATGTTTACCGCTAGGAAAGCTTTTAGCTATGTCCCCATCATCTCATTTGCAATGTTTTCAAGCTAATTGTCTGCAAAATCACTTAGAGAATTAAGGTGTCAAAAAGGCTGGTGGTGATAGGTATGTTTTAAGATTTGTGTCATCCTTCCCTAGCACTTTCCCTGTTATCTACCTTTGTAAATGATTCTACATGTGGATATTTTAATATTTTATAAAGGTAAATAATTCATTTAATCTGAATCAGACATCATCATAAAACAGGTGAGGTAGTAACATTATTGTGGCATTTTACAGTGAATGAAAAAAAAATGTTTAAAAAGGTCATGTTAAAGAGAAAATAGAGAACTTTGTTTAATTACCATATATTCTTTGACTTTCTCTTTTAGATGAGAGTGTCACATGTTAACTTGGGTCCTCATGCTCCTTTCATATTGGTATTGTGAGGGGTTTTGGTTTTTAAATCACTTACAAAGCTTTTTTCTACATAGGAAGAAATTCCTTATAGGGACCACATCAAAAAAAACCACAGATTTCTCTTAAATAAAATTCCAGAATCTGCAGATATTTAATTCTGATATACCTTTTTACAAACTTGGAGAATATGAAAAGCTGTCAGCTTAAAGATAAAGAGAAAACAAGGAATTGAAGGTAGAAAAATGAGATAAAACAGATTGCATAGTAAGAGTAGAGGTTTTTATAAGCTTTGGGAGAGAGAAAACTTGGGGAACTGTACTTTTACTGATTTCAAAAGGAGGACAGAAAAATGGTTTTAAAAGCATTTTAAATGGCAGAAATGATGTTAAGTGAAGCTAGGACAATCTTACCCTATGTAAACTGGATTGGGTTTGAAAAACATTCACCTGTGTCATTTGGGTTAAATAAATGACATATATAGCTGCTTGCCCACAACTCCCAAGTTGCCGGCACCCATGGTACAACCTGGAAAATGGAAATTCAAGTCAGAAAATCAAAAGGCCCTAATATGCCATATCTATACAGTGAAATAATATTCAGCAGTAAAATAGAATGAACTATTGGTACATGCTGCCTCTTGGATGAACCTCAAAAAGATGCTAAGTGAAAAGAACCAGATACAAGGGACCACATATTCTATGATTCCATTTGTAGGAACTGTCCAGAATAGACAGATGTCATGCAGACAGACAGGAGACTAGTGGCTGGTTGAATTAGGGGGTGGGAATGGGGGTTAACAATAAAAGGGCATGAGTGATTTAATTGCAGTGGTGAAAATTTTTAAAACTGATTTCTGGTGTGTTCCACAACTTGGTAAATTTCCTAAAAGTCACTGAACTATACATTTGAGGTGGATAGATTATGTAACATGTAAAATGTGTCTCAATAAAGTTGTAAAGAAGAATTAAAAAGCACTAGACATGCAGATGGAGAACTTGATAGAGAAAAGGTTTCTCGTAGAGTACGTATTTTCTAAAACAAAACAAAGTAAATATCTAGATTATTGCATGAATATCTAGGGAAGGAAAATCCTTAAAAGTTTCTATAAGTGGGGGGCGCCTGGGTGGCTCAGTGGGTTAAGGCCTCTGCTTTCGGCTCGGGTCATGATCTCAGGGTCCTGGGATCGAGCCCCACGTTGGGCTCTCTGCTCAGCGGGGAGCCTGCTTCCCTTCCTCTCTCTCTGCCTGCCTCTCTGCCTACTTGTGATCTCTGTCTGTCAAATAAATGAATGGAAATCTTAAAAAAAAAAAAAAAAAAGTTTCTATAAGTGGGATCCCTGGGTGCCTTTGGCTCAGGTCATGATCCCAGGGTCCTGGGATTGGAGCCGTACAGTAGTGCTCTGCTCAGGTCTCCCTCTTCCTCTGCCTCCTTCCCCCTACTCATGGTGTCTGTCTCTCTCTCTCTCTCTCTCTGTCAAATAAATGAATAAAATCTTTAAAAAAAAGTTGCTACAAGCAAGGAATGGTGAGTGGAAATTGGTTCTACACAACTTACCATTACTATTTTGATGTATAACATGCTACTAATATACTTTTTGTTTGGTATATTTTATTTTGTTTAAGTGAGAGTAAAAACTTTTATAAGGGCTACAAAAAGTTAATAAGAAATTTTTATTCTTCTAATTCTAGTTCTTTTAAAAGATACTTCCTTAGTAATCATAGATCCTCCTACCTGTAGGTACTGTTACACTTACTAAGGTTACTGAGTTTCTAAGTTGTATGACTCTATGAGTGGATTTATATTTCTGAATATGTTTAAAGCATTTTTCTTGCCATATATCATAGGTAATTTTGTTTTCGTAATAAGAAAAACAACAGGGGCATCTGGGTGGCTCAGGGGGTTAAAGTCTCTGTCTTCTGCTCAGGTCATGATCTCAGGGTCCTGGGATCAAGTCCCACATTAGACTCTCTGCTCAGTGGGGAGCCTGCTTCCCCCTCTATCTCTGCCTGCTCCTCTGCCTACTTGTGATCTCTCTCTCTATCAAATAAATAAATAAAATCTTAAAAAAATTAAAAAACAATGGAGGAATATGTAGAGCAAAATGTGAAAGTTCCTCATTTCCTTATTTCTCATTCTCTTCACCATGGTTAACGAGTATCAGCAGTTTAGTGTATTATCTTAGGTCCTTTATATACTCTCACACACACACACACACACACACTTTAGTCTTTTTCAGTATTAATGAGATCATGATGTATATTGATTTATACATTAGATATTTTTTATGTCCTGTGTGCCAGGCACTGAGGATATAGTGCTGAAGAAGACACCCAAGGCCCTTGCCCAGGGAGATTCCATTCTAGTGCAGAAGACAGTAAATAAGCAAACAAATAATTACTATATATTAATAAGGTAGGATCAGATAGGATCAGAAGAGTTATGGGAGAATGGAGAGGAAACGTGAGGAGACACAAAAAGACTGTTTTAAGTAGAGTAATCAGGAAGGTCTCTCAGAGAAGGCAACGTTTGAGTTGCTGCCTAGAAGAAATGAGGTAGCAAACCAAGTAAAAGTATGAGGAAAGAGGATTTTAGGCAAAGGAGCAGCAAATGTAAAGATCCTGAGACAGAAACAAGTTTGGCTTGTTCAAGGAACAGTGTGGGTGTGCAAGTGGTGGGCAGGGTGGTATGGGGATTTGGTAGGAGATGAGTTGGGAGAAATAGAAGGGCCAGATCAAAGAAGGCCTAGTTGACCTTTTAAGGAACCTAAATTTATTTTAAGTGTGATGTGAAACCAGTAATATGATCCAACTCATACTTTTAAAGGTCTCTGGTTGTGCTGTAGGGAATAAACAGTAATGCGCCTGGGAGTTAGGAAATGATTTACTGTGAATAGTAGAGACCCAAAAATAACGACCCAAGCAAATTAGGAGTTTTATTTTTCTCAATTAACAAAAACCAGATGTAGGCAGCCCAGAGCTGATACAGAAGCTTCCTGACATCAAGAAGTCTGGTTCCTTTTGTTTTTCTGTTTAGACATCTTCAAGTGTGCTTGTTTCCTTGTACCGTGGGATGGCTGATCTCTAGAATCACATCTAGACAGAAGGTAGGGGAAGAAAGGTACATGTCAGCTGAATTTTTTTTAATTTTTTTTTAGAGATTTTATTTATTTATTTGACAGAGAGAGATCACAAGTAGACAGAGAGGCAGGCAGAGAGAGAGAGGAAAGCAGGATCCCTGCTGAGCAGAGAGCCCCATGCGGGGCTCGATCCCATGACCCTGAGATCATGACCTGAGCCGAAGGCAGCGGCTTAACCCACTGAGCCACCCAGGCTCCCCAACTGAATTTTTTTTTAATTAAAAAATACTTTTTTAATCTTTATTTATTTTTTAAGATCTTATTTATTTGTCAGAAAGAGAGAGAGCACAAGCAGGGGAAGCAGCAGGCAGAGGCAGAGGGAGAAGTAGGCTCCCAAATGAGCAAGGAGCCTAATGTAGGACTCAGTCCCAGGACCCTGGGATCATGATCTGAGCCGAAGGCAGATGCCTAACTGACTGAGGCACCTGATGTCCCTGAGTTTTTATTTTTTTTTTTATATTTTATTTTTTTTTCTGGTTTCCTTTTTTTTAAAGAGTTTTCTCCAAAACACAACTAAGTGACTTCATGTGTGCTTCATAGTCCAGTGTCATAGACTGTCGCTAGCTGTCAGGGAGTCTGGGAGGCAGTGTTTTAGCTGGGTACATTAACTTCCCACGTAAAATCTGGGTTCTCTTGGAAAGGAAGTAAAGAATAGATAATGGATTAGGTAGCTAGCAGTCTGTGACTCATGGGACAAGAATGGAAATAAGGCCAATTAGGGCACTTTTGGATTCAGCAGTATGT